TTGATTTTTTTGATTTTTTTTTTTTTAAATTGATTGATTGATTGATAGAGTGGTGGGGGAGGGGTCGCCCCACCCCCCCGCCACCCACCATGCGCACGCGCGCACACACACACACACACACACACACACACACACACACAGTGTCACACACACTCCCCCAAGATCCCGCTATGCGGGCGGACGAAGGAGCAGCGCGGCGCGGCACACACACACACACACACACACACACACACACACACACACACACACACACACACACATAGTCTTAGCTATTTTCTCTCTCTCTCTCTCACACACACACACACACACACACATACATAACAAGGGGGCGAGGAGCGAGGATTGTTGGAAGAGGGGAGGAATCACCAACCACAAGTAGCAATTGGTAAAGGCAAAAAAAAGAGGGCCGAACACAACAAGTAAATAAATAAATAAATAATAAATAATAAAAGATAAACCCTGATGAAAGAATGCGCGGAATAATGACGAGTACGCGACACACCCCAGTTGTCATACAAACTCGATCAGAGCATATTACGCCACAAAAAGATGAGCGCAGGACAACAATTATGGGCCAGGGAAATGCTCACAGCCTGCAATAAACATGAGTCTGATTGTGCACACAGCCCGTGCGCGCTTTGAAACAAGGCATGCGCATTCTCTAAGTAGTGGTGTTTCGTTCAACTGAAAGGAGAATAAGAAGGCGTGTGATATGGATCGTATTCTCACAAATCAGGGGGCGTTGTTTTCAATTTTTTCTACTTTTATTGTTCTTATTTTTGTTTTTTGTTTCTGTCCTCTTTTTGGACTTCTATTTTTCTTCTCAAGTCCCCCCGCCTAACGCCACCAATGACGCTTGTATCGCCCACGGGCAGTATCCCTCGGAAAGTGACGGTGATGGAGCACTTTTTTCGTTTCTTTGTCCTTTTTTTTTTTTTTTTTTTGCCTTTTTTTCTTCTTTTTTTTTTCTTCTTTTCTTCCTTATTTTTTACACTAATCACCAACGGTGACGTTTCGACCAACTGGGTAGGACAATCAGGAGGCGCGTCGTACGGATCGTATCCCCCCAATCAGGGGACGTAATCTCGAACTTTTCCGCTATTGTGTTTGTTTTTATTTATTTTTTTTAGTTTTTTTTTCCGCCTTACGTCACCATCGATGCCTGTATTGTCCGTGGGCAAAATCTCTCGGAAAGTGACGATGACGGGGCACTATTTGCACAAGTGGAACGTCCCCCCGACTCCCATAATTGGATCAGCGCACAGGCTTTCCGCTCCGCTGTAATTCAGGATTGTGGGCCGAACGGCAGCAGGCATTCCAGTTGACAAAAGATCGAGGAGACAGTGTTTTGAGCCCTGTACCAGGACGTCGGTGCTTAGCGGTTGCCTTCACTATGGACTACCAGGTGGATCAGGAGTTGCTGGATCGCATGATCGATGGCGAAGAACACAGGGTATAAGCTTCCTTGCCCTCGCCTCCAGAACTTTCTGACTATTTCAGTCACTTGTGATGCACCACGCATGCGCTAAAAAACTGCACGATCTTCCATTCTTTATGTTGTTCTCGCTTTGCACGCAGGCGGGCTGTGCTGATGATGATGCTAGTCTTCTTTCCACTTCAATTTCAGCGTTGGGCAGTCTGCAGACAAGTCGAACTAGGGGCGAGGGCGTTGAACAGAGAGGGGGCAAATGAGAAGATGGGGGTAGCTATCGAGATGTCAGCCTACGTTTTCCTCGCTTTTGTTGCTCTGCTTGCTTTTCTTTCTTTTCTTGCATTCTTACACCACTTGCAAGCTCTGCCGCCTCCATCGCCGCTCCGACTCATGAAGCATTTGTGACCTTAAAGTAGGTGTTCCCTCTGATGAAATCGTGTACTGATGGCTAGAGGCAGAAAAGCGCTTCAGGGATCGCCACTACCCTCCTGCTTTAGCTGTTGTGGCAGGCCTTCCATATTACGTGGAACTGCCTCTGGGGATGCAACTGGTATCTTCATATTCATTCAATTTTCGTACGAGTCTTCGCGTCATATTGTCTGTGGATCGGGAAGGAGGAGAGAGAAATGACTTTTCAACTTTCTGGCCGGAAGATAATTCATGCTTTGTTGTAATAGAGGGCGTTGGATGTGTGCTCGACGTATATTTTTCTTTGAAACGTGTTCATTCATGTTTTGAATTTGCGATCGATGTATGAATGGCTGATTTAGGGACAGATGTGAGAAGTAATAAGTACGGGGCATGACCTATTAATATATAAAGAAAAGCTTTTAACGAGCGAAGCTACCTCTAGACATAATATCTATCCACCATCGACCGACCAAGATCGGCGAAGGGATTGGATATTATGGTGGATGGCACCGACTAATGCCATGAGTTAAGGACAGAGGTGGAAAATAATGAGTACGATACATGACTTATACATAAGTATATATATGAATGTATATGTATTATATATATATATATATATATATATATAATTATTGTGGCGGGCAAGGTTGCCTCCAAACACAATATCGATCCACGTATCGGCCGACAAAGATCGGCGAGGGGATTGGATACTGTGATGGGAGGCGCTGATAGCTCTTGGTCTCATATGACGAGTACCGATATTCCCGATGATATGTATATGATCGGATCGCTTGGTAATGAATGGGTATGATGGGAACGCGTATTTTTTTACTGTACATTTTTTTGAACGAGAATTATGAGTCTACATGCATGAGCAGATATGTATGGATTCCACCAGGGTAATCGAGAACTTTTTTTTTAGCACGTGATTGTTTTTCATGCTGCCCTTGAATGGACGAACGATCCCGCTGACGGAGCTCGATCGGGTCACGGATTGATCCGCGGGCGGACCAAAGGGCGGTATTGCTCCCCCACTCTGGCGCTGCGATCACTTTCTCCCGGATCTCGTGGGAAATAACTTATTACGCACTCATGTCTCCCAACTATAGCAACCCATTAGAAAGCTATATCTTCCCTCGCATATAGTTTGAGTATATTGAACGGATCTATATATAGGCATAAGATTATATAATTTTTATGTTGCATGCATTGGAGGGACAAATACGATCTCCCCCATACGGCCTGATTGAGAAGTGAATACGTTGTCCGATAGGACTAGTTTGCCATGCTACCCCGGCGGCAGTGCCGACAGGACCCGCCTGGTCCGGATCACATGTATGGCATCCTAGGATTATTCCTATAAAGTGTTGTTTTTTCAGGGCACAGGAAGGAACTTGCGCTACGTGGCAGATAGTCTTTCACCATGGACAAAGCGCAAGCTCCCTTGTATATTGATATAAATTCCGCAAATAGTATGGATGGTATTACGACAATTGCATGATGACTTCTAAGCATAGATAGTTCGATGTAGGCCTATGCCCCGTACCCAAGCATAGATCATCGTATTTTTTGCACTCTTATGATCTTTTTGTCTTAAGATATTACCGATTGAGGGATATATATTCTTCTTCTTTTTTAGATCCGCTCGCCCTCCGAAGGATATATATCTCTGGGCCAACGGATTGCGCATACGTGGGGACATGTTCCGGTCATGTTTCACGCGCAAGAATCCCACGGGACGGGTTATGTGGTATGAGAAGTCCTATGCTCGCCTGATAAGGACAGCGGGGGTATGCCGATGAATTACTTCGGAGCTTGATGGCAATACAGTTTTTGTATTTTGCATCAACATGCTTGTCATGAAGAACTCTAACACACACACGGGGGGTACCTCCCGTCGATGTTGTTGGTGGTGTGTAACACCAACCATACCCATATGGTACAGGCGTAGTATTGCATAGGCAGTCGCCAACGAGACCCGATCGGACAGGGAAATGCGATTCCATGAGATCACCTTGTCCACGTAGCTGCCTGTAGGAAGCTGAAGTGCGTCGTTATTCCACCAACCTTCCTTGTTTCAAGTCGGTACGTATTGTGTCGCACATGTGTTTGCGTTCTTTTGTGTCTTTGTGTTTGCTGCAGATTCCGCCGAAGGAGTTCTTCCCAAGAGGTTGGTGGGACGAACTCACTTGTAAGTACGAATGGCTGAAGGAACAGCCGTGGTCCAGCAAACCGGCGCAAGCGCTCATTGCCACATTGAAACCCGAGATCCTGGATGGGATGAAGAGAATGGTCGAGACGGGGGACTTTCCGAATTTTTTCTGCATGATTGGATTTAGTGATGTTGCTAATCTTGCGTGTGTCTGGGATCTAGGGAAGGACGCCTTTGTTGCCAAACTCCTAGACACTGCTGTGTGCTTAGAAAAGAAGAAAACGAATTATGAGAAAGAATGCTTGGAACTGCCAGCCAGAACCGCTAAAGTTGAGCAAATGTTTGTTAAGATTTGGGGATTAGATCACTCGCATCTACAGGGGCAGGCCGCCGCGACACCGGCGGTCGGCTGCACCATCGCAGGAGCACTCACCATGGACGATAAAGAGATGGCTGAGTTAAACGCAGCCATAGCCGCAGTAACCGCTACTGCTAGCTGCACCCCGGAGAAAGCCTCATCCTCCCAAGGAAGGCAATACACTGCATTTGCTCCACTTCCATCCCTGCACGAGGTTGAGCACACTAGTACGGGGTTCACGCATGCGCTGTGGAAACTCGATACTTTTAATCATCTTGCTCCGTTCTCGGTAAAGGCCCTCATTTTCCTCGCCAATCTAACCGACGAGGAGGTCACCACATGTAAGGCAAACGCGATGACGGGCGCGCTCCTATACTGCCCCCAGGAAAAAAAACCTTTAACCTGACCCTCCTAACGTTTCCACTACTGTCGGCTGTGTGTCCGATTTTGAATTCAACGCGCGTTGAATTCTCGTTAAACTCCCGTTCAAACGCGAGTTGGACGTGAATTAACGGGGTCCGGGATGATTTTTTTCCTGGGCTAAAAATTAAAAAAAAAAAAAAAAAAAAAAAAAAGGGTTCTAGGTTTTTTTGAGGACTACAACCCTTTATTTTTATTTTTATTTTTTGATGCTTAAATCTATTTTAAAAAAATCAAAAACATAAACACACAATGAAAAAACAAAAACTAAAATCAAATAAGTGTTTTTGTTTTGGGTTTCACACATATTTTTTAAGGGCTAAAACAAAAACAAAAAAAACAAATAAAAAATATAGGGTTGTAGATCTTTCAAAGATGTACAACAATTTATTTTTTATTGTATTTTTTTGGAACTTCATGTATTTTTAAAAAAATGAAAACCATAAAAAGCAAATTAAAAAAAGGAAAAAAAGACACACACACACAAAATTGGGCCTATAGCAGGTTGCATGAGTCTCGCGTCAGTTGGTTGAGGGAACCCAGGTCCTGGGCCGCCTGTGTGAATGTATGGAAAGCAGGCCCTGGGCTGGATACGGGTACTGGGCCAAACAAAGGCCAAAGGCAGTTGGGGGCATGCAACCACCTCAGGCCCAAAGCCTATTCTCGTTCGAGCTGCGCCTCAGGCTACCGGGGCCTACTGGAAGCTTCCTGGGACTGAACACAGGCAGGCCACTTCAATATAGCAAAGGGCCTGCCTCCACATTGGGCATTCGGGTGTTGGCTGCATGTTGCATAAGCGCTGCCGCGCTGTAGCTCGTGCCACTCACGCGCTCACGGGCGAGCAGGAAGGAGCAGGCAGCCATAGCCGAGCTGCGCTGCTGTAAGCTGGGTGTGGCGCAGGGTGGTCCTTGGGTGCAAGTGGAATCTGTGTGTTGGGGAACGAGGTTGTGAGTAAGGCGAGACACACTCTCACGTGCAGGCACAGACACACTTATACTTACACACACACACACACACACTTACAAACACACACATACACACACACACTTACAAACACACACATATACAAACACACACATACACATACACACACACACT